CATCACATCATCATTAGTCACATTCAGTGACTTAGACTAAGATGATGAAGTCATGTCAAAACAATTAAATGCAAAACCTACTTCAAAATACGAGGACTTATCAAGACACACATAGGCAACGCAACTGTCAACACAAATGACAAACTTAACTTTTTGCCTACCAGCCACTGCACACGTGCGGAACAGCCAGATGTAAACAAAAACAATGTTTTCTCGTATTACCATCGACAGACAGATTTGTGCAGTTTAAATGTTCGACTTGTAATCTGTGAACATCTGTAGCATTTAAACTGCACAAATCTATCTGTTTATGCTAATATCTACATCATGAAATTTTAATTCTAGACTCAGTAACAAGTTACTTGTTAATTACTTCTGTTTTATTCATGATCATAACATGAGTTTAGTTTCTTGTGTGACTAATGCTGGTCGTTGTTTCCTTTAAGTTTTGCTCTTTCTTCTCTTGATCGTTGTGGATAAATTGTTCATGTTAGAATGTTTGTCCTTTGTGGAGCTTGTTGGTTGAAGATTTGGTGATGGGGCAGATTTATGAAGCTGCTGGAGAATATGACACACATTTACACACATTTACACACACATTTACACACATTTACACACATTTACACACATTACACACACATTTACACATACACACACATTTACACACATTTACACACACATTTTACACACATTTACACACATTTACACACACATTTACACACATTTACACACATTTACACACATTTACACACACATTTACACACACATTTACACACATTTACACACACATTTACACACACATTTACACACATTTACACACACATTTACACACACATTTACACACACATTTACACACACATTTACACACACATTTACACACATTTACACATACATTTACACACACATTTACATACACATTTACACACACATTTACACACATTTACACACACATTTACACACATTTACACACACATTTACACATATTTACACACACATTTACACATATTTACACACATTTACACACATTTACACACACATTTACACATTTAACACACATTTACACACATTTACACACACATTTACACACATTTACACACATTTACACACACATTTACACACATTTACACACACATTTACACACACATTTACACACATTACACACATTACACACATTTACACACACATTTACACACACATTTACACACATTTACACACATTTACACACACACACATTTACACACACATTTACACACATTTACACACACATTTACACACATTTATACACACATTTATACACACATTTACACACATTTACACACATTTACACACAGAAACACATATTTACACAGAAAACCATTAACCGGGAGTTACATTTACCGACATCGTGGCTCATCTAGCAGTTGTGAAAAAGGTCTGTTAGTCACTACTAAACTGGATTCTCTTCAAATCATGTATTTGTTTTTTTTTTTTGCTAATGTGTGTATTGTGTTCCCATGGTGACAGCTGAAAATTCCACCAGAGAGATACATGTACAACACCCTCAGTGTGATTAACTTTTCACTTTTTTTTCTAGTTCTGCCAAAGTTTTCTGTTGAAGTGGAGGCTCCAGATGAAGTCAGCATCGCTCTGGAAGAACTCTCCTTTAAAGTGTGTACAAAGTGAGTCAGATGCCCTCCCTGTGCCTCAGATGCCCTCCCTGTGCCTCAGATGCCCTCCCTGTGCCTCAGATGCCCTCCCAGATGTTGTTGTGGTTGGATAATACAGTTGTACATGATTGTTTTCAGATACACGTTTGGTCAGTCGGTGCCGGGGCAGGTGGAGGTCAGTGTGTGCAGAGACTTTGAACCACAGAGATACAGCCCAAGTCCAAAAGTAAACCCCCCTGTGTGCCACAAAGAAGTACAGGAGGTACATAATAGTACTGCTGCTGCTACTACTACTACTACTACGACTACTACTATTACTACTACTGCTGTTATTACTACTACTTGTAGGTGCCCAAAGATGGCTGTGCGTCCTTCTCCATTCCAACATCTCAGTTTAAAAACATCTCTCGGATGGAAGCTGCATACAGCATAAACGCCATGATGATCGAAGAGGGAACAGGTACCTCAAACTACCATTACTACTTATTATTACTATAATTTATTGTTTATTTGAACAGGGACAGATCCACAGACACAGATGAACACTGCAGGGATTTGTTTACAGCCAAATACAGTACAGTACAGTACAGTACAGTGTGTACTGTACTAGTGTAGTATAGTACAGTGTACAGTACAGTGTAGTACAGTACAGTGTAGTACAGTACAGTACAGTACAGTACAGTACAGTACAGTGCAGTGCAGTAGAGCCACAGTGTCACAGTGGTGAGACGCACACAGAGGATCACAGCTGCAGGGTTCGTGTCGGACCAGATCGCTGTGAGGGGAGCAATTCTTAGTCCAGTTATTTAAACTGTGGTTTGAACCTAAACCTGATCCTTTTCCTCAGACCTGAAGCAGTCTGTGACGCAGAAGATCAAGATCTCCTATGAAATTGGAAAAGTGGAGTTTGTGAATCCTCCCAACAGATACAACCCTGGTGAAGTACTGGAGCTGCAGGTACTTTTACTCACTCAAACTGACGTTATTATTGTGTCTCTGGGAGTATTATGCTAAATATTTTTTTGAGCTTTCAAACATTTTATGACATTGGTCCTTCATCAAAAACATGCCTGGTTTTTTAGTGATCTCTGCCAGGAGGGTTTGAATAGGGCACTGGAGAGATCACTAAATTACTCAGACATGCATGGATGACTCTAAACCCTCTTCAGGTATATTTTTGAGTTGATTTGCTTCATACAAAATGGATGGATTCTCCAAAGTGCAGATGTGAGTGAACAGCTGGTTTAACCCTCTCCAGGCATTGCAGATTTGCAACAGCTAAATGCCAATTACCAACTTACTCCAAATCTCAGGAGCCTTTTTTCCCATCCATGCTGATAAACTTGGACGATGGAGACTGTGCAAGAACGGCTACACACAAACGACCTGCCAGAAGTGCAAAGTACTTTTGTTATTTACAAAAAAAAAAAAATTGTTTCTTGGAGCACCACATGAAAAAGTGATGTTGTTCTGCCACTGTAAAGCTGTTACACTGTGCTCTTTGTTTTCATTGTTATGAAAAGTGGTATATACATAAAGTTAGCGTTCATGTCATTTTCAGTCTTCAGTGTTAATTTACCACACCAGACCAATGTTGCAAATCTGAAACATCCCAGAACGCATTGGATGTGAAAAAAAAGTCAGGATTGTAAATTACTACCCCATATGATCATTTTCCCCAAATATCAGATTTATATATATTTTTCCTGTTACTAAAATTTTATTTGAGCCTGAGAGGGTTAAATGTGTTTCTGTGCAGGTGAAGGTGGTGCATTATAATAACACACCAGTCTCCCACACTGAGGTCCATCTGATCACAGAAGATGACGATGAGCTCCAAAAGCTGAAGACTGACCAGGACGGACACGTTACCTTCAGCTTCAACACCAGCTCCTACTCAGGCTCTGTCGGTCTGAAGGTGGGTCCAGAGGAAGTCCTGGTTTAGTCCTGGTTTAGTCCTGGCTTAGTCCTGGTTTAATCCTGGTTTAGTCCTGGTTTAATCCTGGTTTAGTCCTGGTCAGAGTCTGGTCAGGACTTGGATGGGAGATTACTGGGAATACAGGTGCCACAGGTGCAAACTGTTGTTGTGTCTTCAGGCAAGACACTTGACCCACATTACCTAGTATGAATGTGGTGTGTGTGAGTGTTGGTGGTGGGAGGGGCCGATGGTGCAGATTGGCAGCCTCTCTTCTGTCCGTCTGCCTCAGGGCAGCTGTTGTTACCATAGTTACTTGACTCCATTGAGTGTGGAGTGAATGAAGAATGCACAAAATCACAAAGTAACTTTAGTGTCTGGGAAAAGCAGACCTGCAGTCACCAGGTCATATGGAGCGAGTCCTGAGCTTCAGATGCAGCGGTGAAAGTGGATTTGTATTTGTCGTTCTGTAAAATGATCTACTGAGACCTTTCTCAGCACTTTTATAGCGGCTCCTGTGTGTTATTGTGTCATTTTATAGGTCACTTATTTTCTTTGTATTGATATTTTGCAGTGGCATCATGTTGGGGGTGTTCTGCCTGTGCACCTATGGTAGATTGTTCAGCAGTTACCATGGTGACCCAGTGCACACATTAGCAGTGACTACTGTAAAATATACTAAGGGATGCTGTCTGTATTAACCCGCTGCAGGGTGCTCTTGGAAGGATCAGCCAGATGTCTTGAATAAGTGTGCTTTATTGAGTATTCAGCATTACTGAAATGGTGTAAGTGTGTGGTTGTTTATATTACACACACACTACCAAAGATGAAAATAACCTCTAAAAAAACACAACAACAAGAGCATGTCTCGCTGCTTGCAGTTCCAAAAAAAAAACACTGAACCCCAGTACCTGGCCCCAGCCCTGCAAGATGGGGCCACATAAGAGGTTCTGGTTAAGTTAGAGTAAGTTCTGATTGGTCGCTGCACGCAGTGACAGTCTCCATGTGGAAGACCAAGAATACAAGGCCAAAAACGATTTTAAGAAAAAATACAACATGAATTTAAACTAGTGTAACCAGACTTCCCCATTTACCCGGGACAGTCCTGTGTCCAGCAGATTTATACAAAACCAGTGATTTGTCCAGTTTTATGCAAGAAATGTTCCAGGTGTATTTTGGACCAATCTGATCCCTGCCAACAGTAAAGAAAGGCATAAATTGTCATTTGTTTAGGGAAAATACAGAAAAGCTGCTTAAAAAATGACCAAAACACAAAGAAAATCTGACTATACTTATTCACTTTACGAGTGCAGAACAATTTTGCTTAATTATGCACTCATTTCACAATTTTATTATTACCAACCACCACGAAGAAGAAAGTTCCAGTTTTTTATTTTGAAAATCTGGTCACACGTCTTTAAACAGCACATTTTCAGGAGCCTGTGATAATTCCTGGTCCTGTTTCGTACTATACTATTAAAACATGCAGTTAAAAGCATAAAGTTAAAGTGGAACAGTATGTTTGAGGGATTGTGAGTAAAAACATTGATAAACTCTGCTTTAAACCACTCAAAAACCCCTGTGTCTCTCCTCCACA